TCACTTAACGTTTTTGATTCAGGTCATATGGGGCCGTATCTCTGTTCATGTTTATCATAAGAATGTTTTTTTTTTTTTTTTTTCTTTTAAAATTCAATATGTGGTAGCTCTCAAGTTACGTTTTTTTTCTCAAATAATTTAATTAGAAATTCAGTTGTCATAGTTTCCTTAGCGCCATCAATACCCAACGAGGAGGCTGGAGATGTGGTTATCTCTTCAGCGATCATACCATCTCTGGTTCCCTGAGGACAGCGCAGTTGTATTTCCTATTTGGATATTGGTAGTTGCACAGTAGCGGTAAAAGAAAGCCATTCATGAGAGGCGAAGCAATTTGTGGGTATATATTCGGTTTCTTGAAAAATGCATTATTTATAGCGGTAAACAGGCCATAAGGTCAGGTCGCCAAAGAGCTTGAAAATAAAATACTTTTGATTTCACCTGAATTTGCACTGTAAAAAAAAAATATTTTCAAGATTTGTTATCACAACATTTTTTCTTTTGTCAAATCAAAGTTCAGATAACTTATTATTTTGAGTTTCTGATGATTAAATCAATCTCCTTCATTGTATTAACTCACTTTTCCAGTTCAATCAACTTAAAAAGATAATTTTAAGTTAAACCAACAATATTATTTTACAGTGTGGGTGGGCATAACCTATAAGAGATCCAAAACGAGATTTTATAATGTGGTAACACTTTGCATTAAGGTTTCATTACCTACTTTAGTTAAAATGAATAAAGAACAAACAATTCTACTACAACATTTATTAATCTTAGTTAGTGTTAATTTCAACATGTACTCATACGTTATTAAAATCAAAAGTTGCATTTGCTAACATTAGTTAATGAACGGTTTCATTTGAACTAAAATGAAAAAAAAACAATGAACGACCATTTTTTATTAATTAATATTAACAAAGATTAATAAATATTGTAACAAATGTATTGCTCATTGTTAGTTAACTTGTATTTACAAATTTGAGGTAGGCTTGTAGGCCAATTGGGGACATCACTGCATTTAAAATGTAAAATAAATTATTATTTCATTTTAATAAAACAATTAAGTAAATTAAGATCAATACAACATTTATTAAAACAAAAACAAAACCAAAAAAACTAAAAACAGAAAAACACTCTTGAGCTTTTAAATGTGAGTTGCCTTGGAAAGCATTTTAACCATGCTTCAATAGGCTATCTGACGCTTTATAGGCACCCTTTAGCGTCAGTTAGATGCAGTGTTGTGCAAGTTACTTCCAAACTGTAATACATTAGGTATTCCTTGTTACTGGTATTTAAAAGTATTGTAGAGAAGAATTGTAATGCGTTACATTACTCATGTATTACTTTTGAGTTACTTTCACCAAAATAACTAAGTAGAACTTAACTTTTGGGCTGTAACGATATGCAATATGAAACCGAAATCGCGATTCGCCACACGACTCAGATCCACGAACCTACAGAATCGCGACACACCTCTTCCAACTCCCAGCATTATTCTCCTTACCGTCCATATCCAATGCTGCCTTATCTTTAAATTAGGCTATTAGTATTATTTGAAGTTAACATTTGAAGTTAACCACAAAACTAGTTGAGGATAAATTATTGAAAATTGGGGAAGTTCAGCATTATGGACATGATGACATTTGCAGTCAAAACTTGAAATAAAAATTCTCAGAAAATACATGTATTGAAACGTATATAGGCTACTTCCTTAAAGGACTCCAGACATTAGACAAATATCAGTCTATGTTTTATTTTTAATATTAGGAAAAAGACACACATTCATGCGTGACAAAAAAATAGGAGGCAAAATACATTTTTTGTAATTCTGTTAATTACACTGCGCAAATCGGATGAGGAAGGGTTGGCTCTCCTCCATAGAACTTAAAATATTCATTTTATTTTAGTTTTCGTGTTCGCATTTATGAGGAAAAAACAATGTTACAGACGCGACCGCTCTGAACTGGCACTAAAAGACTGCTTTAAAACTTTCACACAGTCTGTTGCCTTTAAGAAGTAAAAGCAGACAATACACTGTAATACAACTGTAATACAAGCCTCACTGAACATGTAACGAGTAAAATATTACTGAAAATTGATTAGTAATGCCTTACACTACTGCGGTACAGCAAAAAGTAATATGTTACAGTAATGTATTACTTTTGTAATGCGTTACTCCCAACACTGGTTAGATGACACCCTAGGATCACGTGTAACCCTACCCCAGACCTAAACCTACCCGCGTCATCTAACTGACGCTTTTCCTTTAGCGTCAGTTAAATGACGCCGTAGGATTGCAGTTTTCTGTTTGTCTATTAAAATGAATGCGCTGTCAATTTATTTTATAACAGATGCGACAGCGGAATCTATACATCTCAATTCTCCAGCTGCAGTCATCTCTGAGGGAAACCAGTTAAGCGCTCTGTTGATGACGTCCTTGCAGATCATCCGTCCATAATCGTCTAAAGCCCGCCCTGGCAATCTGATTGGCCCGTTCATTTTTTGACTGATCATAATTTCTCCTCAATGGATCGAGTCCAGACCGATCTTCCCGACTGAAAAATTTTGTGGGCGGGGGTTCGGGCTGGCATCCAGGCCATGAAACTTGGCTATAGAAATAATAAATCCTTTTAAATGAAAAAAGAAGATGATGGTCTATCAGAGATGAAAGAAAACAGCATTCTTACATTATGAATGCTATCATTACAGTTGCAGTTCAGGCTCAGTGGTTAGAAAAAATCCACAGGGATCTCTTCATACAAAACACTCAATTGTGTAGGCTATTTGCTGATTTTGTTTTAAATGCTATGGGACTAAATAGCTCAAAACTGTCTTTCTGAGTTGAACAACACTACCCTCATCAAGATTTCAGGTTTAGTCATTTTATTTGGAAACATTATTACTGCTAACTGTTGGTATTATTTAATATTTAATTATTATAGGTTTGCATATAATGTTCCATGTTTGTATTTCCACTGAGGCCTGTTGCATGAAGCTGTAGTTGAACAAACTCTGAGTTTCAGGGTTGATTTAGAGATGATAAATCCATATAATGGTTTAGATCAGGTTCAACGGGCTCAAAAATGTATCAAAATGTTTTCTGTCAACTCAGGTTTAATTCAGGATAGCCCCTGCATCTGAAATTGTGACAAGTGCAGCAAACACTTGATTCACTTCTCAATGAAAACACTTTCATAGATTGAACAGGCAGGCATGTGCATGACGTCATCGTTTTCACCGATTTTCCAAATGGGTTTGGAGCATCTAAGGAGCAATCAGAATCCCAGTCTTCTATACTCCCCGTGTCTAGTTCTTTGTCCGACCTCGTCTATGTGTTACGTCAATGTCAAGTGGATGTACAGTATTTGTCTTTTTCTCCTGCTTCCCCTGCATGGACTTATTAAAGACTGGGATTCTGATGGGGAAGTCCATGCAGGGGAAGCAGGAGAAAAAGACAAATACTGTACATCCACTTGACATTGACGTATACACATAGACGAGGTCGGACAAAGAGCTAGACACGGGGAGTATCGCCTACTAGAACAAATGAGGGAGCTTGATAATTCATCAACAAAAGAGTGAAATAAGAGAACGAAAGAGACATGAAAAATATGTCAGACAGAAACACAAAGCATGATCCTTACACTTACACTTGCATACGTATATTATTGTAAATTAATATAACAATTGTATGACTATATTATACATAATTACAATTACTGTAATATGATGTACATATAATAATTGACAGCAAAAGTATCTAAATTTCTTTCACTCTAAACTACTTTAATCTGGAGTGAGAGATACAGGGGGTGTGGCTTTATTGCATCAGATATATGTCACCTTGCTCACAGCTGATTGGTCCAGTTTTGGTCTGCAATCTCTAACCCAGAATAAAATCTGCTCTGGTGCAGGTTAAAAACAGGGTTTGCTCAAAATTGAAATGACTTGTCTTAAAGTCCCCCTGTAATCAATAATTGTATCCCAAAACATCTTTAATCACCAAAATGACATATTTAAAAGTTTTTTTCCCCTTGAAAATAAAACTTCACTTCAATAAACTTACAATGTACGTTTTGTGATTAATAAAAAGTCATTTAAATGTTATGTACATTTACATTTATATGTATTTAAACAGTATGTTAAAACAAAACATACTTTTATGTACTTTTATGTAAAACATACTCTTTCCACATTGACGGATGGTCAAATGTATTTTCCAGCTTTCCGTGTTGAAACTTAAACTTACCAACATTCAAGTGATGATAAAAAGAATGCATAAAGCTAGAATAAAACTTTTTTTTTTTTTAAGCAGAGGGTCTGTTCTTTTTTGTTTTTAGTTATATTTCATGTGTAAATCCGAGCAGGATTCGAACTGTGATCTTCAGCGTGGGTGGAGGCCGCTCCAACAAGGAGGCTAAAGGCCGCAGCCTTAAGCATCAGTTGCTAGCTCGCCTCTTGTGATCAGGGGAGTGAGGTTTACAACAAGAAAATATTCTGTGGGCCATGAAACTTTTATGAGAATGATCAAAAATACTGGCGCTGGCTGACAACTTTAAAATAAAATCTGCCTTAAAGGCTTAATTCACTCAAAAATGAATTGAATAAATTTATCAATTACTCACCGCATGTCGTTCACAAACCCGTGAGCCAATCATTCATCTTCTTGGATGATCAGAAAAGCTGTAAAACAGTGAAAAATAAACCTCATTAATATTTCAAGGCCCAGTGCATGATGGAAACACCAGTATCAGAGACGTTGAGTAATTTTACTTTATTTTATTAAGTTGATATTTACGCTTTCATTTCTACACACTTGAATTGAGTAGCTACTCATATAGATTTTACTATTTTTTTATTCTTGCCTGAACTAACTTTTTCATGAAGATATATATATATATATATTTTTTTTTGTGTGTGTGTGTGTGTGTAGTATTTCCCACAAAATCGTTTTTATCCTTGAAGGCTACCTGTAAATGAATCGGTGTTGAAGGGGGTCTAATTGGTAATGGACCAGGGGGGAAAAAAGATGGGGCGATGGACTAGAATCATAGATCCTGCGCTTTTCCCATGTTCATGAGGAGGATGGGTGAGTAAGGCTGAGAAATTGGTACCTCAGTGACGTCCACGCAGGCAATATTTCATCTCGGCAGCAAACAGCACTTCTACCAAACGCAAGCTCAAACACAAGAGCTCCTGCCGGAGAAAATATGAACCTGTAAACGCCTTCAGTGTGATTGGATGATCAGAAAAAATAATTTCTGATAATTAGCCTGTTATTTTTTTGTTTGTTATGAAAATGTGAAGAAAATACAAAAAAAAAAAAAAAATTGAATGAGCAACTTCTACTCCAACCTCGACGCTGACTGTTGGACACCAGTAAACTTTAAAGGGTTTTTCAACCAAACGCTCTCTTCTGAAGAATCGATTAACCAAGAACAAATTAATTGCAGAAGAGTTTGTTTTCACGACGAACCTTCAAAAGTAAGCTGATTTTGAAGATGAATATCCAAAACGGCAGTGATATAGACAGACCCGAAGGAAACATAGACTTAGAGGCGCCTGAAAAAACCTTATTTGGAATCGGCACCGACAACTTCGTCACGCTACTGATATTTGGACTCATCTTTACTCTAGGGGTCCTGGGAAACTCTCTGGTTATCACTGTCCTGGCTCAACGCAAACCTGGACAGCAACGAAGCACCACCAACATCTTCATCCTCAACCTCAGTGTGGCAGACCTGTCCTATCTGCTCTTCTGCATCCCCTTTCAGTCAACCGTTTACATGCTGCCCACATGGATCCTGGGTGCCTTCATTTGCAAGTTCATCCACTACTTTTTCACAGTGTCCATGTTGGTGAGCATTTTCACCTTATCAGCCATGTCGGTGGACAGGTATATCGCCATAGTGCACTGCAGAAAATCCTCATCCATTCGAGTTGAGAGGCATGCATTAATCGGGGTGTTGATCATATGGGCGCTCTCTTTCGCCATGGCCACTCCGGTTGCGTACTATCAGAGTATCGTGGAAAGTGATGACAACAGCACGTTTTGCTGGGAAGTGTGGCCAGATCACAGCAAGAGGAAAATCTACGTCGTGTGCACTTTTGTCTTTGGATATGTGCTGCCGTTGATTCTGATATCTTTCTGTTATGCCAAGGTTAGTTGCTCCTCTTTTATTTTGGCTTGATTATGAATGTTTGCATGCAATGTGCTTTGATTATAGTCCTTTTTAAAGGAAAATGAAAAGTGGATTTGTTTTAGAGTAGCCTATATCATTGAAAATAAGGTGCCCAAAATGATTAAAAAGCAGGAATATGCTTAATATATATATATATATATATATATATATATATATATATATATATATATATATATATATATATGAAGAGTTCAGATGCAAAAGCCTCTAAATGCCATTTGAAATTTTCTTCTTTAATGATGATTATCATAAAACTTGTATATTTAAGTTCAGTAATTTCACTTAAATGGCAATGATAATTACCTATTAATTGTTATTTAAGTGAAACTACTGAACTTAAATATACAAGTTTGATAAAAATCATCATTAAAGAAGAAAATTTCAAATGGCATTTAGAGGCTTTTGCATCTGAACTCTTCATATATATATATATATATATATATATATATATATATATATATATATATATATATATATATATGTATAGTTTCCTTCAAAAAAGTTTTTTGTTCCATTGAGTCCTGAACAAAACATAAGGAAAAAAATTGGTCTGGGTTTAAATTATATTATATATTGTATGCGTTTGTCACATTACAACAAATTGGCATCCTGCAATTTGGTCTGCACTTTGATTTGGATAAAAAATTTTTTTTTAATTTTATTAAAACTTCTAACTAATTTTCTAACATTTAATGTTCTATTCTTTTACCAGCTAGATCTTTTTTTTATACTTTAAGCCACACAAAATATATCAAAAATAAATATTAAGAAATAGTAACCATTATAGAAAATGTGTATTCAATTCACTCGTATATATATTTTTTTTTGTATATTTAAATAACTCAGACAAAAAGTGTGTCAAATTATTGACCCTTCATTCACATATTTTAATTTCAAATTATCATGTGCCAATGTGTCTTTAGGTCCTGAATCATTTGCATAAAAAGTTAAGAAATGTCTCCAAAAAGTCAGAGGCATCAAAAAAGAAGGTAAGAAATATTAAGAGTGCTGGCTTCAAATATGACAATATAATATCATCTCGTGGTTGTTAATTGTTGAATTATTAATTGTTGATTATTTTGTAAAAACCCAGCAGAAATGTCTCTCCACCTTTCTTGACAGACTGCTCAGACAGTTCTGGTGGTTGTGGTGGTCTTCTGCCTGTCCTGGTTGCCTCATCACGTGGTGCACCTGTGGGTCGAGTTAGGCTCCTTCCCCCTGAACCAGGCATCCTTCGTTCTCCGCGTGGCGGCTCATTGTCTGGCCTACAGCAACTCGTCTGTTAATCCTGTTATTTATGCGTTCCTCTCGGAGAACTTCAGGCAGGCGTACAAGCAGGTTTGCCGTTGTCAGGTGGCTTCTGAGTGCCCTACAAATGAGGCCAGAGAGATGAAGGCAGCACCATCCACCAACTGCACCACTGTGTAATTCCTTCAGCTGTTAAGTTTGTCGTCATTTATGATAGCTTAAAAATGACTTAAAGTTGAGTTTTTAAGCTTGGGGGAAGGCAAAAAATTGTCCAAAGTATTTATCATGCTTGGTGGTTTTGGATGGTCGGAAGGGATTTTTACATGTTACTCGACGATGCATTTCTTCGGAGAGCAGTAGAGACATTGCTTAGCACCTGCTTTGAAGCCATAGTGATGTAAGGTCTGTAAATATGTGCAATCAAAAAAGCAAAGAATAAAAGGTGAGGGTTAAGGGGGGTGAGGATGTGCTTTTCCTTTTCCCTCAGGCAAAATAGTGAATGAAAATGAAATGTAATCAAGTGTTACATCGAGCCATGTTATAGTTGACTTTCAATTCTATCAAATGCTTGTTTAGTAGTGTTTTACTAAATGTACTATAAAATACTATAAAATATCCTAAAATATATTATAAACAAAACATGTAATGCATGATTAATGCCTTCTAATTCATCTCATATTGCATTGTATGCTCTCACCTTTATAGTATGATGCATTAAAACACATAACAAACAACCAATTTCAGATGTAACAAGGAATCTGCTAATATTACAATGCACTTTAATTTTGGTTACAATTATTAATGAAAAGATGTAATGCGTTTTAACGCACATTATGATATATATTTATAAACCATTACACAAAAACTTTAAGTAGGCCAACGTGCTTTTTTTTTATAAACATTCTATATGCATGTAGCCTACATTTATATTATGTTTCTCATATGATATATATATATATATATATATATATATATATATATATATACACGCACACTACTGGTCAAAGGTTTTAGATCAGTAACATTTTTTATGTTTTAAAATGTCTCATCTGCTCACCAAGGCTGCTTTATTTGATGAAAAAAAAATGACAAACAGTAATATTGTGAAACATTTGCGTAAAATGACTGTTTTCTATTTTAATGTATTTTAAAATGTAATTTGAAAGCTGAATTTTCAACATCATTACTGTTGCTGATTACACATCAGTTTTCAGTGTCACATCTAGAAATCATTCTAATATGCTGATTTTATGCTCAAAAAACATAAATTATTATTTTCAATGTTGAAAACAGTCGTGTACCATTTCCCCCCCCCAAATTCTATGATGAATAGAAAGTTCAAAAGAACAGCATTTATTTAAAATATAATCTTTTCTAACATTATAAATGTCTTTACTGTAACTTTTGATCAATTTAACTCATCCTTGATTAATAAAAGTATTTTCTAATTTCTTTCCCCCAAAAATCAAAAAAATAAATTCTTACTGCCCCCAAACTTTTGAATGGTAGTGATTAATGTTACAAAAGCTTTCCATTTCAGATCAATTCTGTTCTTTTGAAATTTCTATTCATCAAAGGGTCCTGAAATAAAAATGTAAAAAACTGTTTTCAATATGGATAATAATCAGAAATGTTTCTTGAGCATCATATCATAATAATTTCTGTAGGATCATGTGACACTAAAGACTTGAGTAATGATGCTGTAATTTCAGCTTTGATCACAGGAATAAATTACACTTCACTATATATTCACACAGAAAACCGCTGTTTAAATTGTAATAATATTTTACAATATTATTGTTTTTTGTATTTTTTTTTTTTTGTGTGTGTATTTTTTATCAAATTGCTGCCTTGATGAGCAGAAGAGACGTCTTTTAAAAACATAAAAAATCTTATCAATCTAAAACTTTTGTTTTTATATATATATAATGCTTGTATCATATAATTATTATATCAAATACAATATTAAATATGACTAATCAGTGTTGTCAAAACTGTGTCAATCACCTGTTGGCCAGTTTTTATAAACCTTTGTATCAGTTCTAACAAGGCTGTGATAGCATGAATGTGAACAAACGTGAACAACGCTGGAGATAAAATATATTTATAGCCTATAAATATTACTGCAACCTGAAAATGCTGGTCTTGAAAATGTGTCAATGCTTGTTAAATTGCATATTTATTGCATATTCTTTTGCATATGCAATAAATGTGTATATATATATACACACATAATATAATTTCTGAAATCTAAAAATTACTGGTGTTGAAAATGTCTCATAGCCTATTGTATGTATGGTTTTATACAGTGCATTACATGACGAAGATGAAGGAAGATCCAACATGAGTTTAATCTCTTGGCAATTCATAGTATTTCAGGCCGTTCTCATCCCAAGGCGTCATCTAACTGACGCTTTTGACCATGCGTCAATATCCGACGCAAATGGCACCTTTTCTAATTTCCTCCTAGTGGTCTAACCCTAACCCTACCCCAGACCTAAACCTACCTGCATCATCTAACTGACGCTAAAGGTTGCAATGTGCGTCGGATTTAGACACGTGGACAAAATAGTCAGTTAGATGATGCCCTAGGATGAGTGTCATCTAATGGTGCTTTTCCACTACACAGTACCAGCTCGACCTGACTCGACTCGGCTCAGCTCGCCTTTGTTTGGTTTTCCACTGTGTAAATGTTGCACCTGTACCTGCTTTCGGGTACTTTTTTTTGTGAACAATGCCGACTCCTGATTGGTCAGAGAGAATCGTCACCATTCACTGCGTCATCATTACACGCACCAGATGGAGTATCCAGAGTAACCTCGCTTTTTTTAAATAGTTTGGCCAGAGATAGTTACTAAAATAACTATTGTTATGGCAACTCGGAAGAATACGCCGTGGTCAAACGAGGAGGTTGCAGACTTTCCTTTGTTTGGTTGCCAAAGACCAATCAACCAATCAGACCAATCAGCGAGAGCTTGATAGGGCATAGATGTCGCTATGACGACTGGATATATTTGTGGCGGTACTGTCTGCAATGGAAAACGGAACAAAAAGCGAGCCGAGTGGAGCCGAGCCGAGTCGAGCTGATACTGGTAATGGAAAAACTCCATAACTGACGCTAAAGGTTGCCATGTGCGTCGCATTTAGACGCATTTGGTCAAAAGTGTCAGTTAGATGACACCCTAGGATGAGAATGCACGAATCATGAGGATGAGTATTTCACAAAGTGGCTAGTACGAATAACGAATTCGTAAGATTTTTGCTAAATCGTACATATTTTACGAGTTGCCCAGTTCGTATGAATTCATACGAATGACCTACCCCTGACCCCGCCCCTAAACCTACCCATCACTGGGGTTTAGATAAATAATCGTAGGCTACTCGTACGAATGGGCTCTATGCATGGCAGTATTTCCGGTGAAGGTCTAATGCTGCGTTCAAGTCCTCCTGGGACGTACTAGATCGTACGTACGAGGTGGGAAGTCGTGTTTATGACGTGAGGTGCACTCGAGTCAGTTTCGTTGGAGCCTACGCCTTCGTGTACCTACGTTTAATGAATTACACGAAAATACAGCAAGGTCTGTTAACTCTGCAAATAAAAAAAAAAGAGGAACAAAGAATGCGCATCAGGTGTGTTTTTCTTTTTATGTTTTTTTATTAGCTTATGAAGCCAATGTAAACTCTATCATCAGGTATAATATTATTACAATGATATCATATTTTGTGCAGAGAGCTTTCTTTATAAATGAAAAAGCCTTACAATGTCAATGAGTAAACATTGAAATTCAATTAAAATTTACCATCAACATACGTTGAATGAACGTTTCTCACTGACACGCCCCCAACTCGTACAGATCGGGGCTTAAAGAAAATCCAGAGCTCCCCACTGGTATTTACGACATTGTGGTGGCGTTCAAGTGCGTTCCACTCGTAATTACGATCTACGAGATGACTTGAACGCAGCATAAGGATGCTCGATAACTTCCGCTGATCGTAGAGTCCAATGCAATACCGAGAATTTATATTGAATTTTATACTCCATGGTTATACTAAAGAAACGTTAGTCACAAAAACAGATAAAACAGACACCCCTCGTTGTGTTTATGCTTCTTTTTAAAATTATATTAAATAAACATAACTATATATAAAATTACATCTAAACGTATGTACGTTTCGTTTCAAAGACGGAAGGACAGTAAATATTGAAGACTCTGCCATAATCCCGTTTTCTCCGGTTTTCCTCCGCTTTAATCTACACAACCGGAAATGGACGAGCATCCTTACGTCAAATGCGGAACTTATGCGTGCATATAGCCCATTATGGCAGAGTCTTCAAAATTTACTGTCCTCCCGTCTTTGAAACGAAACGTATACGTTTAGATGTAATTTTATATATAGTTATGTTTATTTAATATAATTTTAAAAAGAAGCATAAACACAACGAGGGGTGTCTGTTTTATCTGTTTTTGTGACTAACGTTTCATTAGTATAACCATGGAGTATAAAATTCAATATAAATTCTCGGTATTGCATTGGACTCTATGATCGGCGGAAGTTATCGAGCATCCTTAATCCTTCACCGGAAATAACGCCGTGCATAGAGCCCATTCCCGTTTTCCTCAGGTTTCCTCCGCGTTAATCTCCACAACCGGAAATGGACGAGCATCCTTGCGTCAAATGCGGAATTATGTGTGCATATAGCCCATTGGTCGTGAGATAGCATTGAATATCCTCAAGGAAGGTAGTAACACACCGAAAATGTGAATGTGACCTGACAGAGAGAGTACAACTTAAATAGGAATTCAAACAAGATTAATAATAGAACACCGGTGAACCAAATGAATTCGTAATGACGGTGACCATGGTAACAAAGCACTGGCGGAAACGTAAACTCAAACAAAGGAACGCATGAGAAATGAGTGAAAACAATCTAAAAGTAAGAAAAAACAGATCATAACTGTGACACTATACCATCATCAAAAGAATTATGTGAGTAAGCTTAGTACTTAATTTTTTTTTTTTTTTTTTTTTTGAAGATCTCACATATTCATCGGATCAGGAAAGCAGTATCCTACACCTGGAGACGTCTTCAAATCCTCTAGCCACATAACACATTAAACCATAAGAAGCAGCAAAACAACCACTTGAAGTTTAATTAACAGCCTTTATTATTAGAATTCATAAATTCATAAGTGTTCTTAACTTTGATGGAAAAGCAGAAGCTTAGCCTTTGTATGCTGTACATCAAGTCCAGATAGAATAAAAAAAAAAATCCAATTATAAGACTCAGGAAAGACCAGGGTCACGGTCTTTTATCTTATCATCTCAATAAGAGACCAGACAAAATTACCCTTTGTGGCAATTGTACCTGAATTACTGATAATGGGATATAAGAAGGCCTTGTGAGGCAGCATCATCACGATCCCTCAACTCTCAGAATCAAGGAAGGATTCAATGTGCAATATTGCAGATTTATATTTTCCTGTGAAATTGATATGTTTGCATGTTTTGATCATGTGTATATACTTTGTGTGTGTGTGTTTGAGTAAAGTTCTTTTATGTGCTGTGAGTTTCTGTCTCAAAGTATCCTGCTTTTGGTCGTCATGGAGACAGTGCAGTTCCTGAGTGAGCAACAGGAGTTGTAATTGTCCATTACTGGTTTGTGCGTGTCACGGTGATCCACAAAAACACTTGCTTCTCAAAGCTTCTATCCAATATGAGAGAACAACAGTTTGGAAGGGTGCAGAAACATCTCTAATTAGTATCTCTTTATTTAAAGTAAAACATAAGTAGTAAAAAATAAATATTTCACTATATAATTTTAAGTATATACATCTAAAATTCAAGTATACACAAATAAATAACAGCCTTTGGATTTTAAGGTTAGGTTAGGCCTGC